ATCTGGGACTCTCCACCATTTGACCTTAGAACTGAAGAAGCTTCTTGGATGAAGGTGAAACGTCTTCAAGCAACTTAAAGAAGTCCAGACACTTTTCTTTCCAAGCTCTTTTGACCATGTGCATATACTGTTGTTGCATGAGTGCCCCCATCCCTTTTCCTTTCTCTCTGGCCACATGTCTTTATTAGTTTATTGTAATGCTTTCATTTGATTCAGTTCTGCTGCTTATTATTCAATTAATTTAGTCTTTTTGCTGCTCGTGGTATTTTCAATTCCTTCTTATTTTTGTAATTCATTCATAAACGTTTAGAGATGAAAGTTCTCAGGTTTTCAAGTTTTGCATCTGTTCAAAATGTAAGTGAAAAAATTAAAATGGGTTTATTCTTCTTGAAAGTAACGTTGTGGTATATCAGCAGTATTTACAGTTACATGTTGTCAAATATGGGGGTGCTAATCTGTTTATTTAAATGGTGTAAACGTCTGATGTGAGCATTGTTTCCAAAAGTTAAAGTAACACTTAAATTTAAGTCCAGACGTTGTCACATAGAGCAACATACACATTACAGTAACAAAATGTTGAACCCTGCTGAAGAAGCTGACGACTTCAACAAGGAGCGAGATCCAGCAATCGTGAAAGGCATGTAACTGAAAAGGGCAAAGAAATGCAGGAATATGAGGCAAAGAAAAATGAGACGGCATTCAACAAAGCTTATGACACTTGGAAGAAGGCAGCTAAAGAAATCAGAACAAAGCTGAAAACTTTCTGCTCACCTGAAGAGCTAAATAATTCCAGTCATAACGACATAAGAGACAAGCACACTGTAGTACAACAGCATTATGAACCCATTTGCCACAGCCAATCCATGACGCCAGACATAGATAAACGAATGGAAGCTTCAGCTTACAACCAACATTTGTGAAGTTATTGCTAAGCGCATGAAAACATCGATCAGCTCTTTAATGATCGCCTTGAAAAGGAAAGAGCACGACAGATGTTAAACAAAAAGGTCTATGGTTCTTTGTTTGGTGATAGACAAACCAGATGGTTCATTTGTGCAATCAAAGGCAGATTCCACTGGCAGTCGTGAGGTGGAAGCAGAAGCTGAACTTGCAGCCAAAGTGGAACAAGCAAAGGCCACACAAGAAATAATGGCACAGGAAACCAAGATCAGCCAAATGGAAAATGAGTGGAAAGGAAGCGGAAACAAAGTCAAAGTTGGAGGAATAGAAGACTAAACTTCAACAGTTAAAGGCAGACAGTGAAGTGAAAGTAGCAGCTGCATGAGTAAGAGCCCTTAGTGCTCAAAATGAGATTGAAAACCATGATGATGAAAACTGCCTGAGTGGATAGTACAGAGATGGAGCTAGACAAAAGCCAAGACTACCCCAACTTTGCTCGCTTTACATTCATACAAAACAAAGCTAAAGTAGTTTGTAATCCTGTTGCCTCACCATTCCTAATGAGCGAAAAGACATCAGAAGAGCGGCACGTTAAAAGAGTGAAGGCACTCAGTACCACCATCCAACCAAAGTCTCCACCAACCACAGCATCCACCTCTAGACCTAAACCCCCATGTTTGCAAAGAAGAATCGCACGGCATAGCTAAGTGTCCTGCTTTCGCAGTGAAAACTAGTGATGACAAGAAATTGTTCATCCAGGAAAATCATCTCTGGATGTTTGAGAAGGGGTCATGTAACCAAAGAATGCTGAGGACGTCACTCTTGTAGTAATTGTGGTCGGCGTCACCCCACCTGTCTACACACAGACAGAGTGAATGAACATAAAGAAAGGAAAACTGAAAATTCTAAATCCCCAGATGAAGGTGTAAACAAGGAAGTGCATAATGTCGTGACTCATGTCACAAGGAAAAAATCCTCCACATCCAGCATAGTACCAGTATTTGTGTCAGTTGCGTCTAAGCCGCAGAAAGAAATATTACATATGCCCTGCTTGACACCCAGAGTGACTCATCATTTATTTTAGAGGATTTGGCTTCAGAACTAAATGTAGACGCCCTACCAGTGCAGTTAAAACTTAGCACCATGACTTCTGTTGACACAGTTGTTGCCAGTAAACTTGCCAACAACTTACAGGTGCGAGGGTTTGACTCTGAGACTCCTGTCCGAATAGATCAAGCCTACTCTCGTGACTTTATCCCAGTTGACAAGTCTCATATCCCTACCAAGGAAACGGCACTACATTGGCCACACCTTGAAGGCTTAGCTAACAAGTTACAGCCAGTGCAGAACTGTGAAGTAGGTCTATTGATTGTTTATGACTGCCCATCAGTACTAGCCCCCCTAGAGATCGTCACAGGCAAAATAAACAAACCTTTTGCACAAAGAACCATTCTCGGATGGAGTATTATTGGTTCTGGTAATCCCCACCTAGACACCTTTCACTGTTCAGCAAAATTTCTCGGTGTCTCATTAAACGACACTTCTTCTTCTTCTCACAGGTCCAGATATGATCAACTCATTGGTGGGGGTACTCTGTCGTTTCAGAAAGGAAAATGTAGCCATAATCTGTGATATCGAGAGAATGTTCCACCAGTTCGCTGTTTGTCCAGACATGTGCAACTATCTGAGATTTCTGTGGTGGCAGGATGGACAATTAGACACAGAACCCAGAGAGTACAGAATGGCTGTACATCTATTCGGTGCCAGTTCATCCCCTGCATGTGCTAATTTGGGCCTGAAATACTTAGCACAACAGCACAGAGCAGACTATCCTAAGGCCTCAGAGTTTGTTGAACAGAACTTTTATGTAGACAATGGTCTAATTTGTGTCCCATCAGTTAAAGAGGCACAAGAACTCATCACCGAAATTCTCATCACCGCTTTGTAGCCTTGGCAAAACTGGATTATAGATGGCAGACAGTTGGTGTCGTAAACCACCGCTTATGTTCAAAGATGGTCGCTCACAGTGGACATAGATGCTTCTTTCACTCCTCTTTCAAACCATCTGTCCTCTCTGTCCAAAATGTGAACATTGGCATCCTCGAAAGAGTGACCTTTGACCTTAAGATGCAGATGGACAGCTGAGTCTTGTCCTGTGGAGGTGGCTCTTCTATGTTGTGCCATGCGCTTGTGAAGTGGCTGTTTGGTCTCTCCGATGTAGAGGTCTGGGCATTCCCCGCTGAACTGTACAGCAAACACCACATTAAGTTTGTGTTTTGGAGTTTTGTCTTTGGGATGAACCAGTTGGTGTCTGAGTGTGTTGCTGGGTCTGAAGTACACCGGGATGTCGTTCACATTTTTGGAGGTGAAACGTCTTCAAGCAACTCAAAGAAGTCCAGACGCTTTTCTTTCCAAGCTCCTTAGACTACGATGACCTGGATCACTGAGAACCGTGACAGTTATATTGTTATATTCGTTGTTCTAGCTTTTAGTTTCAGTCACTGTCTTTCCTGTGTTCCGTGTTTCGTATCCAGGCAGTCGTGTCTCTGTGCATACGTCCTGTTTTAACATGTCCTATGTAAGTGTGTTCAGTTTTACTTCCACTTTGTCCTGTTATGTCCAATTAGTCCCAGCGGTGTTTCTATCTGCTCCCTATTGTCTGGTTATCCGGTGTATTTAAGTCCTCAGCCTCCCCTGTTTCTTGTCACATGCTTCATTAGCTGTGTGTTCCTCACTCATCATGTTTTGTCATGTCATGTCCTCACTTTTTAGGTCATTTTTCCTAGTTTGAGTTTTTGTTTTATTTCTACTGCTCGTGTGCTGTTTCTCAGTGAATAAAAGCTGTTTCCTCAGAGTCCTGCGTTTGGCTCCAACCTCTGCCTGCAAACCTTGATAAATACAATTGTGCTAAAAAGTTGCTTTATAACATTCAGGATGTGTATCATGTTTTTAAAAAGTAACTATTTAATAATATAACTAATTAATTTTGAAAATGAGTAGTCAGTAAAGTAGCAGGATTACTTCCTTTGAGAAGTAATAAGTAATTAGTAACTAATTACTATATAAGTAACTTGACCAACACTGTTCAAGAGTGAGGGAGCCCATTAGGACCAAACTGGCTCTGGATTCCTGATTTCAAGTAAAAAGTATAATGAGCATGAAAAGTTCTCCATTTAACAGTTTTTAAGTATTTATTAGTTTTATGAAACTTTGCATTAATATCACTAAGATGTTTATATGCTTTCTATATGTTAATGTAAGGTCATCTACAGCACGACATCATGTTTTTAAGGATGTTGTGTGTTTGAGGCAGGTGTGTGTGTGTGTGTGTGTTGCAGGCCTTACCTGTGGCTCCCTTGTTTGCCAGAACCAGATCTTCATTGTCTTTCTTCTTCTTCTTCTTCACTTTCAGGCCAAACATTTTTTTGGGCTTTCTGCTCACAGGAGAGTAAACCTTTCATGTAGTCAGGACTTATTTTTACCCTTATCAGCTTTATCTTTATGTTGAAATGCAGGTCAGCTAATAACCATGAGAGCACAGACAACGGAAAAGCCAGATACATCTTTGTGTCTGATCCCTTTTTTTAATCTTTTAACATCCAACAGATCACTGGCAACATATAATTGTTATTGTTATTTATTGAGTAAAATAACTCAGTTTTAAGATCTGTTTTTAGCCACTGATGAGCATAGGCTTGATGTCTTTCCTGCAGCACGAGAAGCTGAAATATGTAAACTATCATTCATTTCTATTAATCGTTGCCTATTTAACTCCTTTGCATACAGTAAATATATAATCATAGAAACAGAGGTTTAACCATAGACCTAGTCCAAAACTAGCATGTAAGATTTAGCTCTCACGCCCATCTACTATGGATCAGGAGAGACATCCTCTCCATTTTCAAGAATAATCTTCATAATTTCAAATAAGACAAATAAGCTAAACATCGCAGTAGTGAGACGTTTCCTACCTTTGTTTGGGATCCAGTGTGAGTCACAAGACCGCACTCTTCACTTTTGCCAGTTGGACACGCAAGACTGCACGTTATATGCTTTCGGTGACTCAGAGTCAGAGCTGTTGAAGCAACGTGTTGAATAGCAGCCCGATTATGTGATTGGTGGTTGAAATGTTTGTTCAAAAAGTTCAGTTGTAAAACTGAGGGAGCGTGTGGTTCATGCACGCACCAACCCTTCATACAGGCCACCAAGGAAAACAGGATCATTCCTGTTTTCCTTGGTGGCCTGTATGAAAGTTTAGAAGCATCCTCCTACCAATTTCTTTGGTCTAATATTTGTGTTTTTACATTAAATAGTAATGCTAGCAGATGCACCTCGTACATCGTGCTACAAGTACCTGAAGCTGTAGCAAAACTAATGCTAGTTTACTGCTAGTAAAGGTGCAGTAGTAGAATTATTGACAGCAGTGCTAATATTTGCTTTTTCTATTTATCTGTCATTGGATGTCAAATAATCTGATCTGCTGGTCACCTGAAAATAAGTTACTGTCTAATAAATTAATACATAAGCAAAGCTGTTTATCTAGCACTGTATGTGTGTGCTTATCCTGAACCTTGTGATCATGTGACCAGGATGTATGATATTTGGAGAGTTAACAAACCCACCCATGGTAAACAGAGGAACGCACACCCTGTCAGTGCAATCATCCAGATGATGACAGATGCTCATGTCGTGTTTTTACATATCAGCTGGAGCCTTTCGGACTAAGCTAAATGCTAATTCAGCACATTTTATTTACATTTTGCATGTGTGCGTTGATATTGGATCCCAAAGAAATCCTTGTAGTTGTTATGTATGTTCTAGACTGTGGCCTTTTATTAAATAGAACATCAGATTTTAGGCTCATTTTAATATGATCTGTGCTTATATGTGAAAAGTTTTACCCATTTAAATACACTAAATAAAAGTATGTTTTTCTATTATTACACATAGTTAGAAAATTTCCCATTATCATTATTTTACCCATTTCATTTAAACTCATTTTGATCGACTCAAAAAGTATAATAAATATAATTACATAAGAATAAAATTAAAAAGCCTTAACACTATGGGACATAGCTGACTTGAGTATTATGTGACATATTTATATTAACAGGGACGTATTAAAAATGAATTAAAAATGAAAACTCAAGATGAAGTGTTGATGCACGCTCAATCATCCAGGAAAAGAAATCCCAAACTTTGATTCTGTTCCTCTGGACGTGGCGTTTTCACTCTTCTTCAGTCTCAGCTGACTGCAGGTTTCCAACCTTATAAAACAGTGCATTTGCATAATGACTGAAACCAGCAGCACTGATGGAACAATGCACTGTGAGGTCAGTTTCTCATGAAGATGAAGTATTAGCAAAAACATTTATTAAGCTTAGTACATCTGCTCAGCCAACAGATGTAGAAATTTTTAATTTTTTCTTTTCTTTTTGCCTGTCCCGTTCGGCACTGTCAGAATCATTGTGTGAAGACTAATGGATCTATTTTTCCAAGTGGATCATTATGGCTGTGCCATGTGATTGATCTTTATTATTATTATTATTATTATTATTATTATTTAATTACTTAATTTATTTTATTTTATTTTATGTAATTATTTATTTTTAACTTTTAAGTTATTACAAACAGGACAGCCATGATCAGGAGATAGGACGGGGGAAAGAAAAACAGGGGAAGAGGGACAGTGAGAAAAGACAACAAAAAATCAGCTGCTGGAAAAAGAAAAAGAAAACAAGCAAAAAAGAGAACAACACAGTAGGAAGAGCACAGCAGCAACCCAGATAAATATAAGTAAAAGTAAATAAATATTGAATGTTACTTGTTACGTTCCCCTGAGGGGTCTAGGCGGTGAGGGGGAAGTAACAAAAAGTGTCCGGGTCAGGAAAAAGAGTCAAGGAGGCAAAAGGGTTAAATTAATTATTTTTATTAAAGTAGCTCAACTAAAAGAGACGGACAAGCCGCTATCACCATTTAAGGAAAACAAACAAAACTCAAGCGTTGGTCAATAAAGTAAAAAGTAAGTCAAAAAGAGAGCAGCTCACTAGCTGTAACCACACTAAAGGCACTCTGGCCCAGAGCTCACCTGTCCCTGGGCTTAAATACTTTTAATTACTGACGAGAGTCAGCTGCACAAAAGAAAGGTGGCAAGTAAGGCAGGAGAGATGGTTGGACACGCCCACACAGACAACTTCAGGAGGCGGCTCTGCTAGGGCCGTAACATACTGAGCAGCACTAAAGACCGACAAGCACGGTATGCTTTGAGGCAACAGCCAAGGAAGATACAGTGTGTCTGTGTACACCCGTGTGTGAGCGTCTATTCAAAAGGTTTCTCCATGCAACGATCTGACAGAGCAGGGGTCGGGATCCCTTTTGGCTGAGAGAGCCATGAACGCCACATATTTTAAAATGTCCGTGAGAGCCACACAATATGCTTAAAACTAAATACAAGTAAATGAGTGTATTTTATGCAAGACCAACATTTTTAAAGTACACTAAGTCTGTGAATTCTTTTTAATAATGTTGTTATCCTGTTGCTACCCAAAGATGAATAAAGTACTTATTAATTAATGCGACCTCTGGCGCTGCATGGTTTTGCTGATGGCTTTGTGGTCTGGTTGATACGTGGTGAGGTTAAGCTTCATGCAGGCGTTGAGACTTCCATCCGTTAAACACGATTGTAGGTTGGTCTTAATGTTCTTTAGATGTGAGAACGACTGCTTACGTGCATATGTAGAGCCAAACATTGTCAGTACAGCAATACTCACATGCTGCATTGTGTGGTTTGTGACGGGAAGCGCGTTCCAAGTTTTGACATTCAGCGGGCTGAAGTTTTTTCATTTCTCCCCGCTTGTGTTTGCTCGCCAACTCTGCTCGCTGTCGTGCAAGTCTTTCCAAATCTTCATTAAGTGACTTGAACTTATTCACCCACATGTCGAGGCCTTCAGGTCAGCAGCTTGTAGCTCAAAATCTCTGATGGAGACACCGGGGATGTAACTCAGGTCTTTGCTGTCCACTGCACACTTGTGTGGATGGGTGATGAACTTACAAAGACGAGTGCGCTCACAAAATTCTGATGACTGCAGGAGATTAAATGTGAAGCCTGCTAGCTGCTGACGATCAAGATGTTGAGCAGGGTCATTTGCTGTGCATGCCTCTTTAAACTCTCCCAGTTTTTCAAAGTGTAGTAAATGACCTGTTTTAATGTTAGTGACGAAGAGTTTGTTTTCAAACGCAAGCTGCTTGTTAGAGGGAGAAGACTGTATTTCTAAAGTTCATTGTCAACATCAAGAACGAATGTTTTGGCATACTCCCCATCTGTGAATGGCTTTCCGTTTCTCACAATTGTTAAAGCACCAGCAAAGCTAACCGAATTCCAGTCACCTTGTTGGGTCCAAACATGGAGTTGCTGCTGACTAGCTTGCACTCTGCACAGTAGCTCTTGCAGTCGCTCCTTATATACAAAGTGAGAAACAAAGGGTCCTTGCCACTTGGCGAGCAATTTTGAGGTGGAAGAAGGGAGTAATACACTCTGAGACTAGCCCCTCTATTATACAGGCGTTGTTGACGCTGCTGAGCCTGGAGCAAATTCTCCCGTGACAACCTCCTCAAAATGTGGAGTTTTGCTCTCAGGTCCAACACGTACTGAATCTCATTCTTGGCGGGGCTCGGACCTTCCTCCCAGCTTTCTTTAATCAGGTCGAGCACCCCACCTTCCTGCCGAACAGTAGTTCAAAGGAAGAAATTCCCGTGGAGTCCCGGGGCACCTCCCGCACTGCAAATAACAGAGGGTCTAACCAGCGATCCCATTTGTGTTTATCCTTGTGAATGAACTTACGAATCATGGACTTTAAAGTCTTGTTCAGATGCTCCACTAGAGGGCGCTGGTCCGGATAGATTTACTGCCCAGTAATTCATACAGTTCCCGCAGTGTGCGAGACATGAACGACGTGCCCTGGTCAGTCAGTATCTCTTTCGGGATTCCAACTCAGGAGATGACCTGAAACAGTGCCTGCGCCACACTCTTTGCAGAGATGGTGCGCAGAGGCACTGCTTCCGTGTATCGCGTTGCATAATCCACCAGAACTAATACAAAGTGATAGCCACGTGCACTCCGGTGAAACGGCCCGATGAGGTCCATGCCAATGTGCTCAAACGGGATCTCCATGAGTGGGAGCGGGTGCAAAGGCGCTCTTGGTATGGCCAGCTGATTAACAAGTTGGCAGTCAGGGCAGGACGCGCACCAGCGGTGCACATCTGCTCGGATGCCCAGCCAATAAAATCTGGCTGTTATTCCCTTCAGAGTTTTTTCATATCTCATATGCCCTGCCATGGGGTTATAATGAGCCGCCTGGAAAATCCCGGTGGCTCTGCAGCACCGACAACTGGGCATGTGTCTCCTCTGTGCAAGTGTCACGACTCACTCGATATAACCTATCTTTCAATAACACGAAGCGCAGGTAGGTCTGCACGGCTTCAGGGTGCAGCATGTGACCATCAATCTCAATCACCTGGTCGAAGGCTGAGCATAGGGTGTCATCACGAGACTGCTCCAGTGGGAAATCTCCCGTGGGGGGAATTTCCGGAGCCGGCAGGGCCTCCCATGAAGGACCAGCAATGCCCCGGGACAAACCAAGCTTCGGTGCGCACAGCTTGTGTCCACCAAAGCATGGCGTATACCCCCTCGAGTCCATACCGGAATGCTATACGTGTGGGGCACGGGCGACGCGGAACACCTGCCTTACTTCCATACAAGGACAGTTCCTCTTCAGGCGTCCCGGTTGGCTGCACTTCCAGCATTCCTGTCCCGGCGTCTGTGCCGCTCTCCGTGGCTCAGGGGCAGCACTGGTGACCTCCGATCCCTGGGAAGGCAGAAAGGAAGTGAATGGGTTAGTGGGGCTCAACACTGGCGCCCACTCGCCCTGTGCAGGCGCAGGTACCCGGTGCATTGGTGCCGGCACTGGGGCTTGTTTGCTCGGTGTCTGGCTGCCTCCTCCGGGCTCCTCCGCTTTGGCGACGAGATGGTCCTCCGCCAGTGTGACCGCAATCTCCAGACTCGCGGGTCGGTGGCACCGGACCCATCTTGCCTTCTCCGCTAGCAGCCACTCCATGAACTGCTCCAGCACCAGCTTGTCCACCAGCCGGGGGTCCCTGTCGCCCATCCGGTGCATCGCCACCAATAGTGAAGGGGCCTTCAGCGGCACAGCGGCCCCGACCAGCCGCTCCAGAACCTGAGTCTGCCGGTCCGCTTGATCCTGCGGCTTTGCCAGGTAGACCCGCTGGGCAGCCGCCTGGTCTTGGCTCATCTTTGCCAGCATTTGCGCCAGGAACGGCAAAGGCTGGGTAGGTGGCGCAGCATGTGGGTCTGACATCCCCACGTTTCCTGGGTTTCGGCACCACTTGTAGAATACTCCACACACACAGTTTGATGCACAGAGATGTGACGTTTATTTGTGACTTTTTGTGCGACAGTTCAGTCTGGTCAGCGCCAGTTTTAGCTTTTTCAAGTACCCTTCGCTTGTCTTTTGCCTCAATAAAAAATGGTGCAGGGGAGGCAATGTCATAGCATCATTAATATTAATGCCCAAGTATACTTCTTTATCTGAAGCCATGTAAGAGCTATGTAACTTCAGCGCCAGTTAAAAGTTCAGACACAAATACTGATTTAAGAATTGTTGTTTATTTTCAACAGTGTACAACAGAACTAAAGACATCAGAAATATGAAATAAGACATATTAAATTATATGATTAATACAAAAGTATGAAACATTATTTCATAATGGAACTTTTCCAACAGTATTTAAGGCATTCTTAGAAAAATTAGGAAAGCCTCATAAAATGAATAGATGCAAGTTTCTGACTGATACTGTAGCCTTAGACATTCTTTTGCATTGTTCATGGAAACAATCCAAACTCCTTTAAAAAGAAGTATAACTTTTGATAAATTAACAGAAGAATCACAACAGCGTGTACTCACATGTGCTAAGTTTAGGCTTATGGCATGCTGATGCTGATGGCTGATTCAGAGGAAGAACTACACAGTGAAGCTGCTGGTTGAACAAAGGAAAGAGTAGCTTGTGGAGTATTAATGTCAGATTTGTCAAACTAAGAGTTTGAAGAAGAGAATAGAGTTCAGAAGATTTGCTTGACTGTTTGGTGAAATGACAACAAATTGGCAGAGATACCGAATTTGCAAGTATTTGATAGCTGAAGCAAAAGATTTAAGGAGACCATTCAAATCATTTAACTGTTTTAGAATAAATTGTTCTTGGAGGAAGTCGTTCCCAATGAGACAGTTAAGTGAATAAGCACAATTATTCTTGTTAGGAGTCAGAAAAGGAAAACTGAAAGAATTAGGAGGAGATATTATGAAGGAGGACTGTAGCAGGGTTAGGAAAAATCTCCATTGCCTTCAGAAGGAAGGCAAGAACACCAAAAGGAGCAGGAAACCTTTAAGGATTTCAAGGCAAATAGGTGGATGGGTGGCTCCTCAAAGGAGAGCAGGGGTTGGAGCCATGTTCCCTCTAAGCTGTGTGTGCAAAAATCTAACCTGAATTGAAATTAAAATAAATACGTTAACAATTCTGTTTTGCAGTGTGGGTCATTAAGTGACCGGTGACTGGCTGCTCCAGCCAATGATGCGATTCACATTCGTATATACGCAGCTAATCAACGT